CACCACATCCCAAAGATGCTCTATTGGGTTGAGATCTGGTGACTGTGGGGGCCATTTTAGTACAGTAAACACATTGTCATGTTCAAGAAACCAATTTGAAATGATTCGAGCTTTGTGACATGGTGCATTATCCTGCTGGAAGTAGCCATCAGAGGATGGCTACATGGTGGCCATAAAGGGATGGACATGGTCAGAAACAATGCTCAGGTAGGCCGTGGCATTTAAATGATGCCCAATTGGCACTAAGGGGCCTAAAGTGTGCCAAGAAAACATCCCCCACACCATTACACCACCACCACCAGCCTGCACAGTGGTAACAAGGCATGATGGATCCATGTTCTCATTCTGTTTACACCAAATTCTGACTCTACCATCTGAATGTCTCAACAGAAATCGAGACTCATCAGACCAGGCAACATTTTTCCAGTCATCAACTGTCCAATTTTGGTGAGCTCTTGCAAATTGTAGCCTCTTTTTCCTCTTTGTAGTGGAGATGAGTGGTACCCGGTGGGGTCTTCTGCTGTTGTAGCCCATCCGCCTCAAGGTTGTGCGTGTTGTGGCTTCACAAATGCTTTGCTGCATGCCTCGGTTGAAACGAGTGGTTATTTCAGTCAAAGTTGCTCTTCTATCAGCTTGAATCAGTCGGCCCATTCTCCTCTGACCTCTAGCATCAACAAGGCATTTTCGCCCACAGGACTGCCGCATACTGGATGTTTTTCCCTTTTCACACCATTCTTTGTAAACCCTAGAAATGGTTGTGTGTGAAAATCCTAGTAACTGAGCAGATTGTGAAATACTCAGACCGGCCCGTCTGGCACCAACAACCATGCCACGCTCAAAATTGCTTAAATCACCTTTCTTTCCCATTCTGACATTCAGTTTGGAGTTCAGGAGATTGTTTTGACCAGGACCACACCCCTAAATGCATTGAAGCAACTGCCATGTGATTGGTTGATTAGATAATTGCATTAATGAGAAATTGAACAGGTGTTCCTAATAATCCTTTAGGTGAGTGTATATATATATATATATATATATATAAAATATTTAGAATTTAGCTTATTTTTATTTATGTTTAGTAATTTTAGCACTTCAACTTCAACTTTAAATTATTTTATTTAATTTAGTTGAGGCAGCATTTCTAATTTTAAGTTGAATTTTTCCTTTTATAATGATAATTTTTCATTTATATCTAATATTTATTTGATTTCAGCTTTATTTCAATTGATGAAAACAATATTATATATTACTGAATATTATATTCAATATTATAAGTTGTAAAAATAAGTTAATGTATTATGAATTAACATGAATTAATATATTTATAAATTAACATTAAATAATACGTGCTGCTGATTAATAAATGCTGTAAAAATAGTTGTTCATTGTTAGTTCATAATACCAAATGCATTAACTTATTTTATCAAACCTTACCAAAGTTTGACCAGTTTTTGTCTTTAGCATTAGCGGTGGCACTTGAAAGGAGAAGCGACTTCTCAGAGGCTTTTAGCATGCTGTCATTGTGCTGTGATTTAGCATGCTAAATGTCTAACAGCCAAATGTATACAGCTAGCACTTAAAACCCTCTCCAAGAAGTTTTGTCTCCAAACAGGCATCAAAGCACCGCTTCTGTAACAAATTCCCCACCTTCCACAATAAATTCCAAAACAATTACTGTCAAATTTCTAAACGCCAACTGTGAGCAATGTTCCCTTTATAATGCGTAGTCCATCTCCTTTTTATGTGAGGACTATGGTGGTTCTGTGCAATTAAATGTTAGTTATTTAGCTTATTTATTGAATATCTGTCATCTTATTGTTGACGGTTTCTTTAAGCATCTTATCATATATGCCTGACTAGTCGGATTAGTCTCCAATGAACCTAACATGACAATTCTTAATTATGATTGTTTTCTTAAAGGTGCAATGTGTAATATTTCTAAGGATCTATTGACAGAAATGCAATATAAGATCCATAACTATGTGTTCAGTGGTGTATAAAGACCTTACTCAATGAACCGTTATGTTTTTATTACCTTAGAATGAGACATTTATATCTACATAACCGCGGGCACCCCCTTCTATGAAGGTTGACATATTGTGACGTCATGTTTCTACCGTAGCTGAACGTGAACAAACAGCGCTACAGAGCGCGTTTCGTTCATACTTTGAAAGAGAAGCCGCAGAAAGCTAGAAGCTAGCAATAGACACCGTGAGTAGTGACTTTTCCCTTGTCAGTGGTGTAAAATATGTAGTTGGATTGTTTCATGTAACTTAGTTCTTCTCCCTCGCTGTGTTATGGCTTTGACAATCAGCTGATTAGTACTATTGACCGTAAAACAGTAACAGTACAGAAGTCACCAACCCGTCGATCGCGGTCGACAAGTCGATCTTGAAAGCATTTTAAGTCGATCGCAAAGAGTTTTTAAAACCAGAGAAAAAAAACTATATTTTTATTCATTATTATTTATTAATTTGTGTGTAGTAAATTGTCTCTAGGGGATGCGGAGGCGCTGTTACAATCACGTCATTTTTGCTGCGCGCACCTTTGCGCTCATGCGGACGCGTCGAGTATAAACAATGCTTTACGCTTTAACCAGCTCAGCCACAGCCCTACAGCATAACAGCTCATATTAGCCAGCTAAACTTTTACTACCCTGTTAGACAAAATATGTAGTTGGATAGTTTCATGTGGTTCTTCTCCCTCGCTGTATTATGGGTTTGCTATGTGGGGAGAAATGTGCTGGTTACATTCGTGAGACAATCAGCTGATTACCATTATTATATTATATATTATAGGGCTGGGTATTGACACAAATTTCACAATTCGATTCGATTTCGATTCACAAGTTTGCAATTCGATTCGATTCGATTCAATATTGATTATTTTGGATATCAGGTACAATACATGGCAAATTTTCTCAAGGAAAACAAATCTCTTAAATAATACTGTAAACTATGGGAGTCAGTTGTAGCCTACTAGGCTTCATTAGCCTACTATAATATTGAAGGTAAAAATTAACTGATTTGTAGCTATACAAACACTTAAATTACACTTTGATTTATTTTTATAAAAATAAAGTTATATGAAATATAAACATTTAAATGGTGGCTGTCATAAAAACTTGCCAAATTTATTCAAACATGCATTAAATATCGAAGAACATTAAAAATTAAAATGAATATGTAATATGGTGCATATATTTAGCAAAATGCTCCTCTTTAGAGTTAATTTTTCTAGCTGACTAACGAGTTTATGGTCACATATGGTTTTTCTGAGGTAAATGTGACGTTACATGACATTGTTTACAAGTTGTTTTACTGACGTCTTTCCACGGTTGAAACACTGACTGAGCGATTTTATGTGACATGATACGGATTTCGATAAGTTGTACTCTATCTTTTAACACACTTTCAGATGCTCGTTCATGTTTATTTCGCGCTGTAACTGGTATTATTAAGGCAGAAGAGAAGGTCATGTGCGCTCCGCGCTGCTGCTTCTCTTGAGCTGAGCTGAGCCAGAGCGATCTCACGCCACAGCGCCAAAACGGTATTTATGTTTTTGAATTTCGTAAGAAAATGGACGTAATTTGAAATTTGAGACTTTATTTAGTATCAATAGTAACAAAGCACAAAGATTATTGCGATTTATTGGATGGGATGCGCGCTACAATGTTCCATTCATTCATCAAATGAAAACAGGATGACTAATCGATTCTTGAGATTTAAGAATCGATATCGGTTCGTAAAAATGAGAATCGATTAATATCGAGAAATCAATATTTTTTACCCAGCCCTAATATATTAAGACCCTTGATCCTCACCTGACTATGGCTTTGTAAACTTTATCCATGATGTGGTTTATAATGGACTGTGGTACAGAAACTTGGCTTACTCTGGCTATTCTCTGCTGTCTCAGACGACGATATGTTTGTCCTGTTTTAGCAACCGTAGCTTCTTCGAAAGGGAGGGGTGAGCAGTGGGCTGAGCCATTAGTGCAACTCGCAACCGAACCGCTAGATGCCGCTAAAATCTACACACTGCACCTTTAATACTGACTCATTGTTCAGACAACCCACCAACTAGTTAATTTGTTAAACAGCATTTTAAAATAAACAGTTTCGTTGTATTTTTGAACTATACATGGCTAATCTGACTAAATGAGAGGATCAAGTTATCGAGCACTAAGAAGCTTGATTAGTAGAACCCATACTTCTAAGCATGCATTATATCTGATTAAAGAGCTGATTACAATAAATTCTGAATATGGAAGTCTCTCCTTTTACTAAACTAGACAGCTAGCATCCAGCAGCATTAGCATACCAGTCAACCTGCGAGATTTCTACCCATCCTTTTACTGAGCAAAGTCATGACGTTAGCGTTAAGGTTTCAGAAAATTGTTACTAAAAACGACAATTTTAAAGGAATGTTCTAGGTTGAAAACAAGTAAATTTTTCCATACAAATATCAATTTTTATTTGAGCTATAAATTGTCCTTTTACTGGTGGGACCACCGTAGGTCGGTAAATTTGTATTATTCATAGACTGCCATTTGAAATACATTAATAAACAAGAGTAACACTGTCAAAGGTGTTTTTACGATGATAGTTGACAGCATGTCACAGATGGTGTTGATAAAGCTCAACTTGTAATGAATCTAGAACATTTCATAACACAGATAAACTCAAAGTTTAGTAAAACTTTGAGGCTGTAGATGACAGTATTAACTGCTTAGACAAGTCTTAGAAGTTAGGTAGATAGATCTCATTTAAATATGAAAGGTAAGACAAATTACCCTGCTTACTACTGAAAAACTGCTAGCTGGTCAGACTAGTTCTTAAGACAGTGGCAGTGTTTATGGATCTGGCCCCTGAAGTTTGGCATAATATTAGCAGTATTTGGACATAATGAATGCAGTGAACATGAAATGTGGGTTGAATCTTAATCACAAACCGTTTGTTTTAGCAGGTAGGTTAGGTCCTAATCTGTCTGCTTTTGTTTTAGTGTAGTTTTCCTGATTGGAGATATCCCTTTAGTTTCTAGCATTGAAAGACATGCCGGTAAAGATATTATCTTAAAAACTGAAATGGTAAACACGTATATCTTCGAAGGAACCATTGCTCCATGGCTTTGGCAGTGCGTGTACCACTTATCTTATCAGTCCAGTCTTGAGTCCAGGTCAACACGCAGATTTCAGTGGAACTTGTCCGTTTTAAAGGTTGATTGCTACAAACCCAGGGACCTGAGATCCTCCCCTTCTCCCAGCAATGGCTGTCCAGCTCTGGGTAAAGTTCCAGGGGCGTGTGAGATGTGTTGATGATGTTGCAGAAGAGGCGTCTCCAGGCTCTTCGAGCGGGTCCGAGCGACTGCGCTGTGCGGAGACAGGGCCAATAAAGGCTCTTTGAATCTGTCCATATGGGGGGATGTGGAAAGAGTAATGGGAAAGGAACTGAGAGACGTGGTGGGACAGACCAGCTGCAGTTCTTGTGGCCTGAGTGGAAGGGATACAAGTTCTCCCGGACGTATTCCAGGGTGCATCGGTGAAGGAAAAGGCGGGCTGGCCCATGAAGAACCTTGGCCCTGGAAGGGGATAGGAGGAAAGGGATGTCCCGAGGTAAATGTGGATGTACAGACACCGGGTGTTTGAGGAGAGGCCATCATGGATTCGATGAGAAAGGCAAGACTCCGCATGACTCGTCCCAGCTCAGCCACCTCCCGTCCGAGAGAGCTCACCTGTAACGCATATAAACAGGTGTCACATTTGACCTTTAGGCCCCGTTTACACCTGGAAATAAGATGGTTTTTGTTGACCGATCACATGTAGACGAGGGAGACACATTCCTGTTTACACCTGGTGTTTTAATCTGTCTCTTTTGTCCACTTTAACTACTTCTGCCCTGATTTGGGAGGGTCTATGGATGGGTAAATGTATGGGTTTTTTCAGCTCTTTCAATCTAATGGATGAAATAAGCTCACACAATTTACATATGAACGCGACTGGAGAGAATAAGCTTTCGTTTCTGCTCTGCTTGGCATTAGACCACGCAGAACACTGTGTGTGTTGAAAATCAAGAATTGTGATATAACATTGAGCTTGGTACGTTTTTCGTCTTCAAAACCAAACTTGGGTCTTCAGCCAACAAAGTTTAAATGCCATCTAGCGTGCTTCCCATAATCAGGGATGTGATTGTGCGAGTGAAAAAAAAGAAGGAATTTTTTGAAGACCCAGCGTAGTGCTCAGCGGTATGACCAAAAATCCATTTCACGGTATTTTTAAAAATTTCACAGTATATGACGTTTTTTTTTTTTTTCAAGTAAACTTTTCTAAAGACAGTCAGTTCACTTCAGATTAGGGCTGGGCAAGTTAACACGTTATTATCGCGTTAACGCATTTATTAATTAATGCCGACAATTTTTATATCGCACTTTAACGCAGTTTTTTATTTTATTATTATTTTAAAAGTTCGTTGCTCACTGGCTCTGAATACACAAAGGCCTACAGTCAAACCATGGATCACAGGAGGGGTGGGATGTTGGTCAGCCAGCAAATAACCCACCCAAACAAGCAGTGGAGAGAGGCTTCGGCAGGTTCTCTCAGGTGAACCGAAAGGGAGACAGCGCTCCGCGAGTGAATGACAGGCGCTCTATGGATAGTAACCATGGCAACGGCTTCTGTGCGCTACGCAGCTGTAGCCTTTTTAACTTAAATTAAAATTATACATAACTTTACATGATAGGCCTGCATTTAGTTTAGCGGAGATGCTCTGCCATGTGAATTCCCTTCTGTTGATGACGTCCTGATAACTATTTAGATTGTGGAAACTCACAAACAGCGAGCCGAGGATCAGTCTCTCTTCCAATGATTTGTGCTGCGCGTCGTGTAGCTACAAAAAGTTAGGCGATAGACAATTCAACTTCGGCAATGGGAGGGCGCGGGCGCGTGCACATGCGTGAGGCGAGCATGACCGCAACAGTTTCACAGGAACCATGACAGGAACGCACCCACTTGTCGCTGCACCTGTGCTCGACCACTTCACCTCACTCTAGGCTGATTTATAATTCTGCATCGGACCTACGCCAGAGCCTCTACGCTATAGACTACGCGTTGGTTTTTATTTATACTTCTGCGTCGTGGTCCCCCTTGACGCGCAATTACACATGCAGAGGGAGCATGCATGTGAAACCCGGCGAGCGGTTCTAGCAATCACAGCGCTTGCGGTACGGGTAGAATTGACGCATTGTTACATTTTTGGAGAGGTCCACGCCAGGGTACGCGCGCTACACACAGCAGGTACATAGCTACGGCGTGAGTTCGACGCAGAAGTATAACTTGGGCTTTACATCTGTTTAATGTAATCTTAGTGTATGTGGGAAACCATGTCATGACCAAATCTAAGCAACTATCAGAGAAGTAACGTTGGTCGACATATATCTGTAGTAGTGGTCATGACCTCTGACTACATAGACTGTTTCTGCTGCTCCCTGATAAAAGATACCTGTTGATACCTGTTCAGAAAAAAACCAAGAAAACTGGTCTCGTTTTAACAAGCTAGATAAAAGGTAATACCCTGGCAGTGGAATAGCTTTGTTTTAATATTTGATTTGATTACATTAATGTTTAAGTTGAGATTTGCAATAAATATTTTATTGCTACTGTGTAAAGGGAATACTGCTGGTATAAAGCACCTTATTTGTTTAAAGTTTTTGCAAACCACATGTTATTGCACTTTTGTGTATATAGCAGTATATTTAAATCAAAAGTGCGCAATACACTCAGGGCCGGTTCTAGAGATTTGGAGGCCCTAGGCAATATTCTTGTTGGAGGCCCCCCACCCCCAATACAAAACTCTTGAAACAAATATGATTCCTAACCTTTTAATTTATACAACATTTAATTTTAAATGTTTTTACTTACACAGTACATAAGTTTGGACACATTACTATTTTTAATGTTTTTGAAAGAAGTCTCTTATGCTCATCAAGCCTGGATGTATTTGATAAAAAATACAGAAAAATAATATATAGTGAAATATTATTAAAATAATGGTTTTCCTATTTTCCTATACTTTAAAATATATTTCTTGGATGCAAAGCTGAATTTAGTGTCATGTGATCCTTCATAAAACTTTATAATATTCTGATTTATTATCAAATGTTAGAAGTGGTGCTTGATATTTATTTTATAACCTGTGATACTTTTTTTCAGGATTTTTTTTGATTATTAAAAAGTTGTTTTAAAAAAGTCTTCACTATCACTTTTATATATTTAACACATCCTTGCTGAATATTCCTGTTTTTTTTTTTGTATTTTTGATCAAATAAATGCAGGCTTGTAGAGCATAATAAAAAACTTTCAAAAACATTAAACAGTAATTGGTCCAGACTTTTTACCAGTAGGCTATTGTATGTACATATTAATCAAACTTCATCTAAGGTAATCTCTTTTTTGTTTAATGAAGATGTTATTGTTATTTTGATGTTTTATTCAATTTATTCACAGTTCCAGAATACCACTTCAGTGATATATGCTTTTATCATTTTTTCATTGCTGGTATGGGCAGGATTTTCCCCTCCCATTTAATCAATATTGACTGCAGATATTGTCATATTATTAATATAAGTAATATGATATTATGCATTGCTAGCTTAAATATGCTATACACAAATCAAGTGGAAGAGAAAGACACGACAGCTACTGATTAGAAAAAAAATTCTAAACTGATATTATTGGCGCGAGTAGGCTGATGTCAGGGTATAATCTAATCATCAGCAGAATTTAGAAGATAGACCCATGAGATCCTTTATTTGAAACATTTAAAAATGTTGTAGTGTGTTGGGGTTTTAACTTTGAATACAAACGTCTTGTCTTTTACTTTTGTAGCGTTTTTAGTCAGCTCCCGACGCGATGTTATTCATTGTACGTGCAAATTCAAAGCGTCGCGTCTGGGCACGTTAATGACGCTCGCGCTCTTTTAAACTCGTAATAAAGCGGTGAATGATTTTTATAGAAATGACGCTGATCTACAGTAGGCCTACAAGTTTATATTTAGAATACATTGCAATCACTCCAAAATAGTTGACGACAACGCACACACCTGCATTACGAGCTGTGCTTCTTTGCGTGCTTTTGCTTCGCAGCACCTGATGGGCTGGCGTTAATGTGACGTATAACATTCTATGGATAAGATAAACATCGTCACTATTTTTAGTTAATTAATAAATATTGAAATAAATTGTAGATATGACATTTGTAATTTTTTTTATTTTTGTCCCTCTGTCTGGGCCCCATCCCGCCAATCGGGCCCTAGGCACGTGCCTAGTTTGCCTTTGCGTTAATCCTGCTCTGAATACACTACTTTAGAATTCATTATTCACTCTTGCGGGTAACAATGCGATTAATCGCAATAAATTCATGCGATTAATCGCGATTAAAAAAATGTATCGTTGCCCAGCACTACTTCAGATACATTCATATAAAAACACCCGCGCCGCATTTTGACTTTGAAACGTGCAGTGCTCATGTTTATTCAACGATGTCAATGCCAACCACAAATAGACTTTCCAAAAGGCTGTGTTGAACCAATGTATGGGAAACACTGTAATATATTTTGACAGCTATCAATTATAGTTTAACCTATCCATCTTCACCGCCACGCTTAGTAACACATACAGCTGTGCCCTCACCACAGTGGAACAGTGAAAAGCGACCCTCTCAAACAGTGTCGCGGCGCATTCCGATCGTTGTTAAAGCGACATACACCGGTATTGCGGTATATTAAAAAAATCATATCATAACAAAAATAAACACCTGTATTCAGTATGAACCGGTATACCGCCCAGCACTAACCCAGCGTGAAGCACTTTGTTTTTTTAAACACCTGAATCAGCCATTTACTGCATTAACTACAAGGAACTGTAAAGAGTGACACATGGAAATATATTTAACAGCTATAATTTATTTCTAGTAATACAAAACAGGACGTCTTAACATCTTTGGGGAAAATATAAGGGCAATAAAAAGTGCTATTCTGTAGTTCTGTAAATAAAACAACTGTGCTTCCAATACAGATCAATCTCATTCAGGAAATAAAATTCCACTCAAACTTCTACAATAGGAATAGGCTACACAAATGTTTTTGTGTTTGGGGAAACTGCACATCATATTCTGGCTACACAGATAAAATAACATAATAACCATTTATGAATTATATTAATGCTTTTTACGCATTAGAAAATGAAGACTACACATAATCTTATCAGCATGATGAATAAATTATATTAACTGGAATAAACTGTATACAGAAAGGGAGCAGAGAATGTGACCGATCAAGCCCAATCTTAACAAGGTCATGCTTGCGTGCTCTTTAGACGCATAAATGACCGTTTACATGCATCCTTTTCACTATGTGTTTTCAAATCCCTACTATTACTAACATACGTAAATCAAACGTCACACGTCAGAGGCGGTGCAATCCTAACAATCTCCGTACCCTTCCGGTGTCTTCTAATACTTTATTCTCTTTTCCTCTTGGTCTCTGGAACTGCCAGTCCGCTGTTAACAAAGCTGATTTCATTACATCTTTTTCAAGTCATTCGGGTCTCAGTCTATTAGCCCTGACTGAGACCTGGATCAGACCAGAGGACACTGTCACACCTGCTGCCCTCTCCACTAACTTCACTTTCTCACACACCCCCCGTCTGACCGGAAAGGGTGGTGGTACTGGTCTGCTCAT